TAAGTTTTATGACTCAGGCCTCTGAAACCAATCCAGAAGCCATTTTGACAATTTTAAAAATCCAAGAGCATCAATGGAGAAATCGACTTTGTAGCCTGAAAACAAAAGTATTGAGAATTCAGATATATCAATTGCAGGGAGGATTTGTAATGTACCCATGGCAGTTATTTCACATCAGAGAAATACACCGCTGACCTTGTGTCTGATATACTTCAAGTACTGAGAATGGAAAGGGGATTTACACGGCGAGATGGTGACAGATAAATAACAAGCAGGAACAAAGGAGTCTTTCACAAAATGCAGAGTAAAGTGTGTCAACCACACTGAGAATCCAGTGAGCTAACAAGTAAGCAATAAACTAAAGGTCCTGATGTTAGCTTGTTTACTTCTGTTTGTGTGTATTGACTGATAAACAGGGATCTATAGGAACAAAGGGGTGGATTATTATAAATAAGGAGCCAGCATCAGGTGAATGTGAAGGACAATGGGAAGGCACCTTTCCAATTCCTTACCACTTCCATTATTAACAGGCCTATCTGTGGCTAGCGTGAGAGAAAGGGATGTAAGACGGAGAGAGACACTGACATGGAGAGAGTGTAAGAGATGAAAGTGGGGTTTCCGTGTAAGACAGTGCCCTGGGCTGAAAGAAGCCGACACCTTGACTTTAATTATTAAAACGCTACTTGGCTTTCCCTTCACCTGCTGCCGTACTGTATCTCTTTCTCCTCTCTGTTTCTGCAGGGTCTTCAGTGGAACTGCATTGGTTTGTGTCCCACTTGTGTGCGTGTGAGATAAAGGGACTTCCTCGTCTCTGCGGGCTGTTGTTGTGGCACCATTCATCTCTTATATCTATATGCCCCAAGGCCAAAATTAATACGCTTTATATTCACTATGCACAGAGGCACGGCATAAAAGTGCATTACCCCTCATTAGCACATAGTAGAGAAAAGTAAATATGGAAATGCTTCCACACATAAATAATGAACAAAGAACAGTTTTTGGGAAGTCATTGTTGGAAATTCTCTCACATGGAACGTCGTGTGAGATCCATTTAACTCGAAACCTGAAGGCCATGCAGGACACATGGGAAAACCCTCTGGAATAAAATCAGTGTTGTTTTTATTTCCCTACAAAACAACCTCCATCTGAGTGGCTCCAATAACCTAGGCGCTGCTAGTTTGCTTGGTTCCAGTCGGACTACACATCCCATACGTCTGTGCACTAAAGTGTAACAGCTAACATCTGTCTTGCTGCTGTTTGATTAGTCTCCTGACACAAGCAGGACAGGATTGTTTACAGTCAGGAATTGGATTTACAATAATGTTGGACAATATTTCAGGACAAAATATCTTCTGTGTCTGCACATGAAGTTGCTTCATTGCTGTCCAATGCCTTTAACAGTATGTATATATATATATATGCAAATGTATGCACTATATCTTGCTCCTTTGTCTGGCTCCAGTTCAATGAGAGTCTGCAATGCTACCTCGGGCTTATAGAAGGTAGTGGGTGTATTTAGTATAATTATCATGCTTAAAGGTTTGTGATGCAACTGGTGCAGTGTAATATAGAGCCGTTTTGGGGGCGAATAAACAAATTAAGCTTTGCACGATGGGGCTTTTGGCCTTGGCGAAGCTACCTTTGACTTTTCTTGGCAGCATCCCAGATGCAGAACCTGACTCAAAGACTGCTGGGTGGCCCTGACGAGTTCAAACATTTCACTGCAACTGCAAGTCAGCAACAAAGGCCGGGATGTCAGGCAACAGAAGTGCCTCGGAGCCACTCACTGATCCTCCGCATTCCCCTTTTATCACTTTGTTCTGGATAAAAGTGTTAGCCAAATGCCTAAACTGTGTGATTATTCAGCTGAAATATTGTTGCTTAAAAATAGCCTTGATGCTTTGTCGACTTGTGTGGATGCAGAGACAGAATAAGTCAAAGCTAATAGGGCAGCACCAGTTTCAGTGTGAGCTATGAATGCTGTTTTACTGTGTATTCTCCAAGCGTTTTGACATGAAATGCAAAAATGTACAAATAAACACAGGGCAGCCGTCCGACAGCCCTCAGTGTTGTGTGTAGTATGCTTGGCTTGCGGCGTTAACTGGAGGCAAAGAACAATTGTAAAACATGCTTTGTTCACAGTAAGGAACCATTTAATGAAAAGAGAGGCAAAGTAAACAGAGTGTAGATTTTCCCAGGGGCATTTGGGACTGTTGGCGACCGCCTCAAGTCTTGTGTGTAAACAATGTGCCTCAGAGTTGGCTAAAAATATGGTTGAAAAACAACGATAAATGTGGCCATCATAAATTCAAGTCTAAAAAACACTTCTGTGGGCAACAGACAAACTCTGGAAAGGAGAAGTTATAAATAAACGTTGCACTCATTTATTTTTCCATTCCTGTTGTAACCTAGTTTCCAATATTTTTGTTATTCTGAGAGTGGTGACTTCCTCCAGCCATCAGCGCCTATTTTGAACAATTGTGCCCACCTACAATGGAGTCAGTAATTATTAAAAACATGATTGTGTCCTCAGTAAACCCTTTGTGTAAGCACAGCTGTTGAATCTCTCTTGATCATTGCACATCTTTTTAAAGGTTTCCTTATTCTAATAGTGTCCTTCTGATATACCTAACCTACCCTTTGAATTTAAAACCACTATGCAGAGCAGCTTGCAGAGTTATTCACATGCACGCCAGAGAGCGCAAGTGTGGAACATGGGAATCTATTTCGGTGACACTTGAAGTGCTGATGACCTGCCTCGGGCCTTTAAAATCAAAGGGGAGTGCCGGACTTTATTAAAATGGCAGCCTGGAAATGGGGGCTTTGAGCCTTGAAACAGCACAGTGCTCAGGTAGGGGCCGTGTGCGTGGGAAGGAATACTCGTGGCAATGTCCTCTGCTACAGAATCTCATTCATTTACAGTTAGATATGCAGTCCCTTTCAACTCAACCTCCATTTCATATTAAAAGATCAACTCCTCCTCGGTGATATGATTAAGACATATTTTAAATATGAATCCCAATTGGAAAATGCATGAATATCCACTGGAAGCAGTGATTTAGCATTCAGCTTGATGGTATATTGATGGGTGCTTCCTGTGCTACATTTGATGTTCATTGTATGTTTGTGTCTATTGGTTTTGCCTATTTAGCATATTTAGATTTTTAAGACAAATACTGCAGCATTGGAATATAACATGGTTGTACAGCAATGTTTTTATAGGTTGTCCGAGCATTTTGCTGCTACACTGTAGGCCATTTGTCATCATACTAACTTGCATTACTGAGGGAAGTGTTTTTCTTTATAATTTCCAGCCCCTGGAGACAGACAACATTGCACGAAATAACACACACAGCCAGCACTCTCAATAAAACGGTGTCTTGTAAAGGGCATAAGGATGATAAACACAATATTGTTGGCCATAAAAGCTCCACACTGTCTGAAAATATCACCAGCACATCGTCAGTGTGGCACAACATTGTTATAATTATAATATCTAGTCATCTTCCTCTTCCAGGCCTCGAGGGGCTCCATATGTTGTGGTGTTGGACAGTCCTCACATCTCCGTTCCTCCTCTCCTGCCAAGTGCTCTGGGGCACTGCAGCCTTTTCCGCCGCTCACTCATCTCTTGCTTGTTTTCCCTCGCCTCTCATGTCTGTTTATTTTGCTCTTCTTTCATGTGTTTCTGCCATTGTCTTCCAGGTTAATTTCCGCTCAGGCTACAACAATAGATGCTTTACATTCCCGCGTCTTTCACATTACACTCCGCTTACAAGCCATTAACAAATTCTTTGAAGGGTGTTGATATATTAAAGTGAGGAATGAAACAGCCTCTGCACTGACATATTGAACTGACGAGAGTAAAGATAACCATTTCACTCTAACTCTTGCACAATTGGAAGGATTAGCAACAAATTATTTATAGGTGTCTGGCATTTAGAGTAAAATTAAACAAAACATACGACAAAGGTCCAAGGCTGCAATCCAAATGGACACATAAAGACACCACCATGCATCATTGCACCTCTCAATCAATGGATACATGCTTTATAACCTCTAGTTAGCTCAACCCTTTAAATAACGCTAATAACAGAAGAAGAGCAGTTGCATGTAGTTGACACAAGTATTAGTGTTTCCTCTAAAGAATATCAGGTTTTAAAAGACTCAGAGTACTGGACTGTGATGCGTGGGACTACATTAATCCAAATGAAAACACTTTCTCTTAAATTGACAAATGATGGTGTATTTTCATGCCAGCTGCAGCAGAAACCAACTTAATAAAATAAACAACAACACTATATTATATTTATATTCTCTCTGTGCTGATGAACACTGATTCATTCATTGTGTTTTGCGGACTTTCTCTTTAGGAAGTTAAGTATGACAAAGTATTTTGCGTATCCATTTTGTTTTGCGGTTCATATTTAATGTCATTTTTACATTTGTAATACATCTCATTCAATCCTATTTGTATTTATGTAGCCGAGTACAACAAATTAGTCGGGGTGCTTCATTGTGTGTACAGCACATGACACCTTAAAGGGCCTCTTTTATACAATTGTTATTTTCACCCTCTGTCTGAAACCAGAGCCCAGTCTGCTCTGATTGGTTAGCTGGCTGGCTCTGTTGTGATTGGTCAACCGCTTAAAGATGTCCCGCCCCTTAGCTTTTCAAGGTCAATGTGTTAGAATGCTAGCCAAGAGAAGCGTGTGTGTTGCGTATTGAGACCAATTACATGCACAAAAACCTATATAACACATTACAGGAAAAGGAGAACCCCCCCAAAATCATAATTGGCCCTCTAAAATCACAACATAGACTATCTAAATGTCAATGATAATTTGAACGTATATTAAAAAAAAAGATGGATCATTGAGGACGTCAACCATTTTCCAGGTGCCGCTGAAAATAATAATGTGGGCGTCAGGCAGGACTACATCAACATGAGATATTTTTATCATATTTAGTCACTTACCCCTCCTCTGTTCTCTTCCTGCCAGGTTTTCCGAAGCGGCGAAGGCATGGGCATCCGCCTGGACAGCGCCTCGGCCTTCCAGGGGGCCGTCATCTCCCCCCACTACGACTCCCTCCTGGTGAAAGTCATCGCCAGCGGGAAGGACCTGCAGACTGCAGCCTCCAAGATGAGCCGAGCCCTGGCCGAGTTCAGAGTGCGAGGGGTCAAGGTAGGACATTCAGCCACGTGTGTTTGATGCCGCTTTGTGTGGGAATTTTAAAGTTATCGCTATGTGTGAGAAAATGCTGACCTCTTCAGATGATGGAAAAACTTGGTGGATAATGTCCAAGTGCTGTGTTATCAACCTGGAAAATAGGCAATTGTCATGGACTCCAAATGATTGACATGAGGTATTTTGACAGCAGCGATGGTTTATCTGCTGTGAATGGATTCATGAGAGCCCATCTCAAACTATTGGAGACAGTCGTGCATGGTTAATGGTACGATGCAGGGAAAACCTTGAGAAAGAAGGACATCTTTATAAGGTTTCTTCGTGGTGAAGCAGCTGCAGAGAACAACAAGTCACTGCTACTGTAAGTGGCACTCCAGCCTTCTCGGATACTCCTTTCATCTCTTGACATGCTCAGTTTATTCTTTATTTCTGGGTTTTCAGACTAAAAACTAAAGTTGTGTCTGTGCTGAATGCACCCCTGCATAAAGACAGAACTATTGTTTAATCAGCAAGTGCAAACGCTTGTTAGCAGACTCAGTGTCGTCAGCAGAAACCATGTTAACAGACTGAGTAGGCGGCGGTCATTAAAAATAATGATCTGCATTTGCTGTTCATGTACAAGTCATATAAGCTAGTTATATCATGAACCACATGACACCTTTTGAACGGCCTTGAAAAAGTCTTGATTTATACCACTAATATTAGTTTTAAAACATTCAATAAACCTGATAATGTTGTGGAACACAATGTTTAATCAGCCATGCTCATTTATTCTCTGTTTGCCTACTAAAGGTAACCCAGTTAATAATTGAGTTAGATAAAAAAGAAGCACATAATAGATGGTTTGTGGGTCTCCTGCGGTTATCATTCAGATCCCTTCCAATCCATTACAAGTCATTTGCACATTATCGTTTTAATTTTCACCCCGCAATTAAGAATAAACAATTTGCTATCTCATTGATTGTCAGGTAACACAAGGAGCTTTCTCACAACATGTGCCTTTTTATGCCTCGCAGCTTAATGTGAAAAGTGCTGTAGCTATGAATAAAACTGGAGAGATCTTTGACTGGATTAACCAGGCCCATGGTACAACTATTTTCCAATTTCGAGTGGATGCAAGTGAGTGAAATATCAAGGTGAACAGGTCTTGGAAGACAATGAGAGTTGCTTGGGGAAGCATTCTTAGAAATCTCACTGTTTTGCAACAAGAGTGTCAATGAACAGAGGATGAATGTCAGCAGTGGGATTTGTAAAATGATTAGTTAGATCAGTAACAGATAATGTATGTTCTGCTTTGACCAGACTCTAATCAGTAGGTGAAACAATAAGGATCCTCTTGCATGAAGGATATACGTACATCCTTGGTTTAATGAATGGTTTATATGTGTCCTGTTGCTGGTTACCTACCTGTAGTTGGATAAAATGAGGTCTGTTCGAATAAAGGGAACCTGAAAAGTCTTATCAGCTTAGTTCATATTTGTTCCTCAGTCTATTTAGAATTAGTCATGATGAGGTGAAATTGCAAGTGACATTGGTGTTCTCGACTTTAATTTATCGTTCAACTTGGAGTGAACTTTGCAAACTATCAGCAGTGATTTAATAGATTAACTTTCTGACAAGAGTGAGGAACCCAAGACCTGATGAGCGTGTGCACACTGTGCTTTGTCCTGGAAAGTCAACCTAATGTACCTTTCCTCCAGTGGCTCAACATCGAAATCATTTTCTACAGACAAAAGCTGTCTCAGTCTAAAAACATTTTTTTATTTTTGACGAGTTCTGAGCTACCAGGGTGAATACGATTTAGATTTAATTTGCAAAAAAGTATTTTCTATTCTGAACCAGTGTACCGTTACCAAACTTTGTAGCACACTGACACCAACAGAGATGCAAAGAATATAGGATGGCTGTTACAAGCTGTTGAATTAAACATGTTTCCCTGAATGCTGCTGTTGGTGGACTGAGATCATGACAGCTCTTTTAAAAGACTTGAGATTCGAGAAAAACCCGACTGCTTTCTGTGTTATTCTGCCACCAACAAATCTGCCAGTTGTTTAGAGTGGAGCCTGGGTTTATTATGGAGAAGTTAAAATATTCAAGTACTGATGTCTTTAAGTTACTGAAGTGTACATATATATCCTGATGTCTTGTCCTTGCAAGGAATAGATAAGCCACTTTCTTTCACAATAGGAAAGTCACCACGGCTATGGTGGATACTCTTTCTTCACATCAAACCTCACTGTTTATTCCACTTTTAAAATATTCTATGAATTCATTTATTACCAGCTAGAAAAGAAACACTACACCTCAACTTGTGACACCAGGTTGTTTAACTTTCTCATAAGATTGAAAAGCTATCATACATGAGCTTTCTTCAGTTAAAACCACACAGACGTTTGTTCCTGGATTATGTACTAGTACCATATATAATGAACATGTTCCACTACAAGGATATTTCGTTTTTTTTGTTGCTCTAAAAATACATTTAGCTGAAGTGTAGGGTTTCAGATGTGATGTCAGTTTGACGTAAGCACCCTACGTCATTCAGTGGGTCACTCCAAAAGTCCTACACTGTTATCTATCCTAGGGGCTAATTAATTTTCAATCTGATATATAGATATCGGCATACACAGTTAAATATAGTCTTAAGGACTCAGTGCATTTTGGGTGTCAACCACTCGAATACACCCACATATACGGAAGTGACCAATGAAAATGTCTACAGCAATAAATTGTGGTGTTAGTGAGCGGTGGCCTTGGAGATAACTCACTGGTGACATTCCACCATAGCAACAGCATCATTGTTGGCTACAAATCTAAGGCTATTAAGCTTTGGTCTGCTCACAGAGATATGACACAGATGGCTGACATCCTCCAAACTCTGAAGGGTCTGTCTCCTAGTAAAAGAAAATTGGCTACATGGATTCTGAATGCAATGCTTCTCAGTTCATTATTTGAGTTTGGTGGCACCTATAGTCACCATTGATCCTCCGAATGTTAAGTATAGTGTAACCTTTCAGTTCCAGGGAAATCCACAAGTTACTTGCTTGCAGCAAGATGTCATGCTGCTCGTCCTGTGTTGTGTGGAATTAGTGTTTGGCATTTCAGAAAGCTCTCTATATCCCCGGCTTCTGCATGTGTGCGCATTTGTTTGTATGTGTGCGCACATTTGAGGAGCCGTGTGTGTTTTGCAGTGAAATGTCACACAACCAGCCGCAAACAGAGAGAGGGGGAGTGATGGACGGGACATTTTGGCAGGAGGATGAGAATAGATGGATCGAGGAGCAGGGGAAAATTGTAAAAGGGCAATTAAGATGAGAAGTGTGTAACATAAAACAACAAGAAAGGTGGTGCGGCCCAGAGAAGCCCATGCACATGTAGCTGTTGGGTTTTTCGCAGAATGCACATGCAGGTTCAGTTTAGGAGACAGTTTGAATAGTAAAATGACTAAAAACTAATCAAGGTCATCTGAAGTTCACTAGAATGTTTCCTTAAAACCACAAATACAACACAATCGAAATACAGTGCGCTTCATTTGTATCTGCCCACCTTAATTGACCCCTAAGAAGCTGTAACTAGAAAAAGTGAATGCTAAAGTAATGTCTATGCGACTGCACCAAGTTATATTTGACATTTAAAGAGTGAAGTGTGGTGGATAATCATTTATTGTCTGCCTATTATTTCAAAAAATACAAGAGCAAAAGTGTAAAATGAGTCTTCTGGAACCATCAAAAACTCAGCCTGAGGCTACTCATGGTTATATGAATTAATTAGATATCTGATTAAATATGCCAGCAGCAGTTGTCATTTTAACTAACATAATGGACAGTTGGACGGCTGCTTAAGTCTACCTTATTCTAAAATCCAGGAGTCATTATTTAAAAATATGTTTTTGTTATCCCTAACATTCTTAATTGTGCAAAGGAGGATGTTTGTTTCCTCTCTTAATTACACACACAACACATCTGCTTCATGTTAATGCAAACATGGGAGCATCTGTCCTAAGTGTTTTCTCATCACAGAGGATGTTGGCTGATGAGTTCAGAAGCAGACAAATAACCCCCTGCTGCAGAACATCAGATGGTTTCTGTTGATTTGTTTACCTCTGTATTTGTGTGACGGAGATATTTTCTACTGCAAAGGTAGAGAAAGACACATAGAAGTTCCTACAGTGCGCTTCTCCTCACGGCACTAAATATTGTGTAAAGTTTGGTAGAGTCTTCCACAAACTGAGATTTTTGGATTGAAACTGTAGAAAATAAGTACAAGTAACCAAGGCGACATCACTCATTAGTTTGTGGAATATCTATTTGAAGCCTTGACTTTGGCATATTGGCCATATGTTACCATATTTGGATGAAAGGGTAGAAATGAGAAAAGTTGCTGTTAGCGTAGCGAACTCAAAGCTACATGTTATCGCTATCTAGCTAGCTTGGTTAGCATGGCACATCCATGTGCTATTTGTGTTTAATAAAAATAGCATGCATTTAAATAAACAGCAGACCCCTTTTTAAAACCACAAGTTCAAGTAATTTGAGTAAGGATTACATTAATTTTCTCAGATTTCTATACACTTTTTTTGCAAACTGTGGATTTGCTGCTGCTAGCTATTTGACCATTGTTTCAAAAACATTGGCCAGATGTTTCCCCTTGGTGTGTGTGTGTGTGTGTGTGTGTGTGTGTGTGTGTGTGTGTGTGTGTGTGTGTGTGTGTGTGTGTGTGTGTGTGTGTGTGTGTGTGTGTGTGTGTGTGTGTCTTTTAAACCGGGCAGCTTTTCATCACCAATGTTTTTATCGTGAGATATGTTAAACGTTGCTTAAATCCTTCTATTAACCCCATTTATTCCACGAGATAATTAAAACACTAGAAGATGTTAAATAAGAGTAATAC